ACAATACTTAGTTTGTAAAGCAAATTAGCTTCCCCTAGGGAAGAGTCTGTGTCATCTTCTCAGTATAGCTGGTGTCTTGCATATCATGGGTGCTGCTGGAATCTAATAATAATTAAATGTGACACTTCAGGGGATCGGCACAGCATGAAACACACTCTACGTGGGAGCTTGTTACAAATAAGTGCATCAGCTTAGTGCTCAGCTAGAGCTGCCATAAATTGGTGAGCACAGATGTCTGATCTGTCTAACTGTGTGGCTTTAGTTAACAGTACCAGCTACAATTAGACACTAATTGCGCATTCGCTGGTTATGAGAAAGCATCTCCCTCTCATTAAACTTTATATTCATACTGTTGTCCTCTGGGAACAACTCATTATGCTGCTCTGGTATTCTCACTGCTTTGATGAGAAGCAGCAGTCAGCAGGGGTCACAGTGGAAATTAATAGTCCAGAAACAGCAGGTCCAGCAGACACAAAAGGGCATAAAGCAAATAATGTGATCTAAAGATCTGTTGTTCTGTTAATCGCTATACCCAAGGAGAGCTAAGCCTGTTGCCAGTGGCCCAGTACGGGATGGCCTAGCTGTGAGAATTCTGGCATGGAAAGAAATACACCTTGCACTGAATTAGCACCCTTAATAAGGCAAAAATTTAAGTCAGTGCAGACCATCCACTATTTATTCACCTTGCAGGTGTAAAGGAAAAGCAGAAATGAAGAGGAAAGGCTCTGAGGCCTCCTGGCAGGGGACAGGGGGTGGAGAGGGAGGGAATGGCGATGAGGACCTAGTACAGGGCTACGTTCTCCCCATCTGCATAGTAAAGAAAGACACAGGTGTAGCCCAAATGCATCATTTTACTCCACACCCTGTGAGCAGCTCAAGATAGACCGTATGTAATCTTTCTCCCAGAGGCACAATTCATATTGCAACTCACAGTGATGGTTGCCTGTTTACAGATATGTAATTGGTTTCTTTTTATCTTTTGAGTATTTGTGATGATTTTGGAATTACACTTGTGAAGTGAGAAGACGCAGCAGGCATCTGGACAGCTTCAGTGTATCAGTATGTTTGCTACCGTGTCCTTTATTCTTACCCAATTAACACTGAGTACACTCATATCCATGCAGCTGTAGCGATCTATGTCTTGGAAGGAACACCTCCGGAATGCATTTACCAAGTCGATGCAGCTGATCCTGAAAATGCTGAACTCAATGTAAGTTGTGTTAAAGAAAAAAACCCAGAGATGATATAATCCACTGTATCTGAAATGCTAATTGCCAGCATCTTTCAACAAATGCCTTCCTTATCAGGAACACAGGAAAATGTTTAGTCAGGAAAAAAGAAGCATTTTCAATAATAAACTAAGAAAACCCAGCCTCAATATTTGGACACAAATTGTATTTTGAGTTCTCAGCCCTCCAAAATTAAGGGATATTGAAGGCAGAGTTTGATATAGTTAATCAGAGATACAGAAGAAATTGTGTCTCTTTTTAAAAAAAAAAAATGGCTTGCAAAACCTTTCTTGTAGATGAGAGTGACTAAAAGTAAATAAAAGTTTTAACCTTCTGTATTGCAATGTAAATTCTTTTAAATGAGACAGTAAGGAAATCGCTTACAAGGCAACTGAATCTCAGCTTTTTGACAATCCCAGGGCAAACTGTGACCTTCAGTTAAGAAAATGTGTTAGTTGATCTGAAAATACTCTTGGTATCAGCAAAAATTTCTGGAAAGTGATAAGTTTGCTTGCAGACAGGGGAAAAGTAACTGCACTTACCTAAGAATTGTATTGTAGCTTTCTTTATTGGCTTTGGCTTTATAAAAGACAGCACATTCAAGAACTGAACCTGAAGATGCTACTTCAATGTGTAGCATTATTCAAGAGCACAATTACCTTGAAGTCCGTCCTCAGGCTTTGCCCAGTCAAACTACCAAACCCAAGCTGGTGAGGAGGGAAGCAGAGGCCTGGGGTTTAGCTCTGCTTTGTTTCTGAAAGCAACAGCAGTGAGTTCCACATGCCTTCTAACCCCTGATGAAGCTCAGGCATAATAAGAAGCTGCAAATATAGAAATGCTGGGCAACAGGTAAAATAATAATCTGGAGAGGGAACTTAGAAAGGTCAACTGGCAAAAAAATTGTTAAAAGAATTGTAATCACCTACCTGCTTTTTTAAAGCAATTTCAATTAAATCTATCACTGTGGGAGGCAAGTTGTTTCACTCAGCTCTCTGTACCTCCTGTTTTTTTCCAAAAAGTAACACGAGAGCAGTTGCATCCCCTGGACAGATCTGCTCAGTGGATTTTGCAGATTACTTGTATGGTGCATGACCATCTGTTATTGCATACTTCAGACTTTATCGGTATTATTAGCACCTGCACTAGCAAAGGAAATGTCCTTGAGGGCTTATTTGTGATGGCCTGGCAGTAGCATGTGGACGATAGCAGGGAGGATGTGGTGGGCATGTGGTAGCTACCCTGCAGCCATGGGGGTCAGGGTGCTGCCTTTCTCCCTACTGTGTAGGGTGTCAGGGTGCTCAGCTCCCTCCCACACCCATGCACTGGTGCAGTACCCATTTGTGTTGTGCAATGCACAAAGCGGCAGCTGCTACATGCCACCGCTGAACAGCTGCATTAACACCAAGCTGTTGTGCACACCTTTCAGCCTCACACCCTCACGTACTCTGTGACAGTCCACTCTCCCCTCCTTGGCTTCTCCCATCATCTGGACCCCTACACTTCACTGCCTCCTGCACGGTGCGCCCTATGCCCCCAAATCCAGCCTCACTCCTTCTTCTCTCTCTTCTCCTTTGTGCAAAGCTGATTTTTGCCTACCACGCTGTGTTTCTGCTGGCTGACCTCTATGTTAAATTCTCATTGCAGAGCTGGAGTTCACAGAGGTAGAGAATGGTGTGGGCTTTAATGTAATTCAATGTCTGTGACTCTCCACTGGCTGTCAAGCAAAGCACGTACAACCACATTTGAGCTAACTTCAGCTCCAATGATCAAGGCTTGTGCTGGCATCTGTATGACAGCATGTTTCAATATGCAAAGTTTTGAGGCAAATACTGTACTATAATTTGACCCGTTTTACAGGGCAAGGAATGAATACAAAGACTAATTTCTTGCTCTCTTCATTTCAGTATTCACTGCTCCCTGCATCAGTGCCATTCTTGGTCTTGGAAAGCGGAGCCATTTTTTCTACAAAAGAGTTGGATTATGAGAAAGATCCACATTGGTGAGAATGTATTTTATTCACATGGTCTATTAGCTTACAGTAGGCAGAGAAATGTTTTCCTACATAGCCACAGAACGATTCTTGTTTTGTTTTCTTATTTAACAGTTACTTTTTAAATATAACAGTGACAGATCCAGACGGACTCAGCTCATCTAAAACAGTGACTATAAATATAATTAACATCAATGATGAAAGACCTTACTTTACCACGTGAGTGAAAAACTTCTGTTGCACTCAAAATGTAGATGTTTTCCCACCTTTACTGCTTTGGCACCAATGGGAGGGTGTAACATAAGGGCAAGTAAATATAACAACAAAATACTACTGAAAACTGTATTTTAATTTTGTTATGATTCCTGTTCTTTTACTGGAAAGCTTTGCCCTCATTTCCCTCTTTTATTCTCATTTATATTCTTAATAGTTTCAAATTTTCCAGGCTCTGCCTTCATGCTAAGAACAGGCACGCAAGCTTGTTGTACTTATTAGCATTTTGAGAGGTTAAAGCTATGCAAAGACCTTCGGACAAGTTCAGACAAGGAGATGAATTTTACCCTGTGTGAATACATTCATATAGAATTTACCCTTCATGCAGATGTGCATTTCACCATAATGATCTTTATTCATGCAGAAATGTCTAGACATAAAAAGGTCTCACTTTTGATCTGTCTTCCTCTTCTTCCCAGACACACACACTTGTAAACAATCCCAGTGATCTTTGAAACATTGTCGTCTCTTACTGTGTCATAAGCAGAAAATTGTGTTATAACACACAAGTCAGAAATAGCTTTTGAAGACTAATGGAGTTTTTTAGTTGGAATCAGGAATATTGTTGAAAATTTGGAAAAGTGGGAAAGAATGTACATGTACCACCAGCAGGCTGTTTTGCGGTGGAAAGTATGATGGAGCGGGAGCTTGACATTATTACAGTCAATCTGCTTGTGTTGCTGATTTATCTTCGTCACTTGCATGAGACACCGATTGGATTCAAGACACTCTTTATGTCTCCTGATCCTGAGAGTCTACAAGGTCCCTGCTGAGAATATTTATGATGGCCGCCCTCCTGCTGTCTATCCAAAGGATAAGACAGTGTGGCACCTTCCATGCCAGGAGGTTTCCAGCCACTTATTTGGAGCAATCTTCTGGGTGCTTTGTGGAGCCAGAACAATGCGTGGCTCTTGGGCTGAGGCCAAGGGTCTGGACCTTCCTGGGTAAAGGGGTGGAGAATCTGAAGAAACAGAAGAATGAAATGTTAGAAACAGACATGGATTTTTTTTTGTTACTTCTTATTTAATACTTGAACTTCATATCTGCAATAATCAATAAGCTTAACAGCTCGCTCCATATTACTGTACTGCTACAAGCAGGAGGAATCCTCTTCCCAGTGCCGACATTTGCACATTGTGTTCTAAACTGATTATTTCCTCCAAATGTTGCCATTTCTGTTTATTTATCCTTATGTCTGGAATGCTAAAGGAGCTTTTTTAAGCATTTATCTACTTGTTCGAATTAGTGAAAGCTGCAGTGACCTGAGCATCTTAACACCTCAGGTCTAAGACTCAGTTCTCATATGGCACAAATAAGGCCTGGTATTTGTTTGAATCTTTTCCCTTTTAGATTGACACTACAGACCAAAAAGAGCAGCTCGGTTTGTAAAGAACTTTAGATTAAATTACGCTTCATGAGCTGTCCTCAGTATGCGTGTGTATGGCCTCTCCCCTGCTACAATGTGAGCTGCATGCTGGGACTACATACTTTCTGACACTAAAAGAATTAGTGCTGGGGTGGGAGCTGGGGAAACTTGACGAGTTAGCAAACCTTCTTTATTTTCTCCCGATCAAAGCTGTCAAGAATAGAGTTTCAAAGGGTCTTTTTAATTGTCCCCATAGTATATGCAAGCACATCTGGTTTTGGTGTTCACAACAGTACATTGGCATTCAGCCTTTTGAAATTCTGGCTGTTAAAATCAATGGAAAACTTGTGGAGTCAGGAAAACAAAGGAGAAGACAAGAAAACAAACATATGCTTCCTTCACAATTACATTGCAGTATCTAAAAGGTCTGCTTGAACCATCCTGTAAAAAGCCACTGGCAGGTGGCAGACAGATGGACAACAGGACACGGCCCAGATGTAGCTGTGTAGGAAGTGGCCCCAACTCCTCCCCAGCTGTACTAGTACTCCGTGCTACGGGGATGTGCTTGAAAACATCCTGTTTCTTCCCAAGAGATCTGGTGGGGACCGGACAATGGCCCATGCAGGGCGCAGGGGGGCTGGTAGGGCTGCGAAGGTGGAGCTGTGGTGAGTTTGCTGTTCACAGAGAGGTCCGAGTTGTCGTCCCTGTGGGCATAGGGAGTTCACTACTTCGAGCCAAAACCAGTTAGAGCTGTCCCTCCCATATTCCCCAGTGATCAGAGAGGCATTTTGGGGTGGCATTTTTGGTAGCAGTGAAAGAGATCTCTTGCTATTTGTTTTGTTTTTGAGTGACTCTGGAAGCAACAGGAGAACAAGGAAGGAAGAGATCCAATGCCAAGAGTGAGATAGAAATTTAATAAATACACTGATTCCGCAGCCTTCACAAACTCCTTGTTTACTGTTGTAAAGTTAGGTGCTGTAAGTTAGGTGTTTTTACTGGGAAAACCCTATGTGATTTCTCTCCTGCATGCTTTTCTCTTTTCATATGAGCTGACAAAACAGTTGAAGATACTGTGTCTTCTTAGCCATTTTTAAAATTGCAAGGGGAGACCTGGAGGCATGGGATCTTCTGTTCTGTCTCTGCAATTCTCTGCTCCAATTGCTAAGTGCCCCATGACGTTGGTTTTCAGACGACAACGGAGGGCTCATGCTTTCCTATACTGGGAACTATAGACTAGTCGATTAACTAAGTGGTGGCATAGGAAGCTTAAAATGTTCAGAAAGGATTCAGTCTTGAAACATACTCCTAATGCTTTTCTGAACTCTTGAGCACCTTCAAGTCCCTTTGATTTCTAGAAGCAGGAGATGTTTGTGTGTTTGTGTGTGTGTCAGTAGAATCAGTCAGCTGTCATAAATTCCTTGCACAGTTTTTGTGTGCTTGTCCATGCCTGCTTTTGTATGTGGTTCAAGTACCATAATTGCATACCTGAGTACCCATGTGAACATGCAACTGCAACCATTATAAGCAATCCTGCGCAATTGCCTGACAGACTATATCAGAGCTATAAAACTCACTTAATTCATGGGAAATTTGGGAGCACTGGCATACCAAACAGCAGCAGTAAAGGACGATTTTCTCTACGTAAAATGAATCAGACAGACAGATGTTGCTGGGAGTTTGGAGCATGTTCATCTGGTGGGCACCCACAGGAGTGCTCTTCCCTGCTTCCACCTACTGCAAAGGCAACTCAGCTTTTTAGTAATACTGTTGTCCCCAAAAAGCCTCCAGCATTCATTCCAAAAGATGATTAATTACATTACTGCTTCTACTTTTGTTTTTCTCTTGCAAAATGAAGGAATTAAAGCAAGTGGCTTTACAAGCTGGTGGCTCTGTAGGGAGATGGACTGCATGACCTTAACAGCCCCTTCCATCTTCAGTTTCCATGATTCTGTGAAAGTCAAATTGTTTTTACCGTGAGAAAGTTGCAGGGGAAGGATACGTACCAGTTCAGCTATTGCTGCATGTCCAGCTGGCAGAACCAGTGACTGGGATATTTACCCTGACATGCAAATAGCCATCTCTGAGCCCAGCGTGGCCATGGTTCTGCTGCTACAGGTGGCTGCTCTGCTAAGTTTGTGATCAGCTGCCCTTGCAAACACAGATGTGAGCTTTGCTAACTTCTGTTTTATCTTGTAGAAAACAAAGAATCTACAGGATTCCAGAGGAGCAAAGCCCAGGCACCGTTGTTGCCAATATAACAGCTAAAGATCCCGATGATGAAGACTCTTCCAGCAGACTTTTCTACAGCATCCAGTCTTCTGACCAATATTTCTCCATAAATCCATGTAAGACAAACAAAAATGTGCCTTCTGACACCCAAAAAAGAGAGTGGCTACGTTGGAGAAAATGTTTTTGCCTTTGTTTTAAATTGACTTATTTTATTCTGTGGCTACCCCTAGAAATAAGAAATGCTCAGTATGTTATCAGGGTCAAATTCTTCTGTCAGCTGACCAAGATTCAGTAAGATGTCTTGAAGAAAGTAGGTTAAAGGTGACTTATTGACAAATATTGACTTATGGCTGGAGGGTGACGGTCCCTTGGGTGGAAGTAAGGTTAGCTGCCTTCTTTTTAATCTCTGAGGACTGCAAGTGACCCTTCTGGGGCTTTGAAACAGCTGCACACAGTTAGAACATAATGTCCTCTCTCCTGCCTGAAATCTGCTCTAGCATTGAAGTGCACAGCAAATCTGCACCTTAGCTTCATTGCTCGATCCATGACCCTCCTCAGGCAAGGCCATCCAAGAAAGTCCTCTCTCATGCTGGTCCTGTCTCCCCATGCTCTCTAGGGTGCATACACCAGTGCCCTGAGGTTTTTGCTCCAGGGCTGGCATTCAGTGACTGCTTTGCTCCTTGTCTGCTATTGCTTTAGAACTGCTTATCACAGCTATAAAAGGTGCCACACAGCACAGTGCTGTGGGAGATCAGGATGATCCTTAAATGCTTTGGACTCCCTATGTCCTTTGGCCAGGTATTGCCACCCTCCCCCTCAATTACACTCCAAAAGGCAGAGGATATATACACTGTTCCTTCACCTCCTTTGTGCTCTGGGAATAGTACTGTGCTTTGCCACAAAAACCTTCTTTTTTTTGAACAAAGGCTAACAGAGTTAAAAAAAAATATTAAGTGAATGGCTGACCAGAGCACTTGGCGCAATCTGTCACAGCTAAGAGCAGCTCCGTTGACGTGTGAGTAGATTTAGAGGTGCTGAAGGATGCTTGAATGATAACAGTAGAAAGTGAAGCAGTCTTACTAGCTAGAGAACAAGGACAGCACAGGCATTAGCAGCTCATTGCCCTTGATGCTCTGTGACTGCACTCAACTCTGACTTGTACTAGCTCTTTGAGAGTGTAAGGGAAATCTAACTGCTTTCCAAGCTCTCTGCTGAGGCCACCAATGGTGTATTTTTGAGCAATGGGTATCTATCCATTAAAGTCTTACACAGAACTTTCAGAGCCATTTTGTATCATTTTAGAAAATAACTAAACCAGCCATGATTTGCACAGAACAGAATACTTTTTATTCTGCTACCTGTCTGCTGAGGTACCCTGTCCTCTTGCATGTACATCATGAGTTTGTTACTTCCCTCCATGGTGAGCATCTAACTTCCGGCTGCTTTCTGCCCAGTGACTGGAGTGCTGCACGTGACTGGGAGAATTGACCGAGATGCCCTTCCACTGCGGCTCCATCCTAACATTTCAGTGATAGTTCGGGTGGAGGACAGTCCCAGTGGTGGTCATGCCAGAGAAATGGAGATCACAATCATTATTGACGATATCAATGACAACCCACCAGGATGCAATCCTTCTACCTTCAGGTATTGATGCTCGTCATTGCCTTAGCGCTGCCTTGTTGCCCCAGACCAGTGTGCAGTCTAGGGCACATCAGTTGGGGTCCCCAGATCTACCACAGCTAGTTCAAATGGACATTTATCTTTAAGTCTTTAAAGGTTAGTGTTCACTGTAAGTGTCTTAGGGCACAAAACTCAATTTCCTGACATGTTCAAACTGGAAATTTGGACTAAAAATGTCAGTGTATAGTCAGATACTTTATCTTTCTTTCAGATACCTAAACCCGTAGGATATCAGAGCCATGTGTTATAGAGTTACTTTTCTGACCCATAGAGATCCAGGCTCCTCCTTTCTTACTTTATGCTAAACTGTGGGGAATCATTCACCAGGGAAAGCTTGCCAGTCAGTTCTGGAGTTTTATTTTAAACTTCCCGATCTTCTCTTCTAAACCTCTCCCTGGTGACCTGCATGGTTTTTACCTAATGCAATCTGTAAGGTCTTCAGAGCCCAGATCACCTCTTGTTATAGGTGTCCTCTGTGTAACTTAGTCATGGACTTTGCTATGGCTATGAATGCTCTGAGACCTTTGTGATGATCAGGTAGTTTATATTTGCAGATGAGGACATAACATTAACTCCATTTTACAGATGAAGTGTGTCATAGAAAGACTGAAGTCAAAATTGTCCATCTGAAATGTTTGATGTGCCTGGGCTCTGATCTTTCAGGGTACACTGCATTGCATAGTGCAGTTCTTCAGGTGCACTTACGGTAGTTTGACGGTCCTGCAGATAAAAATCCAGCATCTCAGGCCACGAACCTATGCAGTGAGGAATACCCGGCTAGTGGGTATCTGTTTAAATTGTTTGCTCACTATCTAATAGAAATGTCTTGCATTTAAATCACATACTTTTACGTACTTGCAGGAAGAGAATCCAATTCTTCAGAGCCCTGCTTAGTTACATCATCCATGACAATAACACAACAGTCTCTCTGTTATCTAGTGAGCTTATATTTTGATCTGAAGGAGGCAAAAATCTTCAGGGAAAAAATGTGATCAAATAAAGAACTAGTCTTATAGGGATTGCACAAGGGAACAAAATCAGGGCTTAATGATATTTCAGTTGGTTCTTAATTTTTTTGTATTTAATTCTCTTGATTAAAAAAAATTAAATTGACAGCCTCTGCCCCCAATTCCATTATGTGCATCACAGGGACCCTCACTGTCAACAGCAGGGCCAGAAATGCTAGTTTCACAAAACAGCAGAATAGTCCAGCTATTAGTTAAGGAGAAAAGAACAAGCTTCTCATCAGGAGAACATTATAACATACTGAAGAAATGAATGTTGTAAAGATGTTTTAAAATACTGATTATTAATTGAACTAATCTGGAACATTAAGATCTCATGGCAGCTTCTGAAGTTTAGCTGAGTTCCAGGTTTATGGTTTGGATCTGGCTAAATGTTTATGTCCTGCCCATTGTACAGGGCTGTTGTCCACCACAGTGTATGGATCAGACACTGGGTTGCTTCATCAACTGTTGCCTATTTAGTGCTAGGATTTCACTTAGAAAATAAATGGAAGTCAATGTTTTGGCATGTAATATATGAAAAGTTCAAGAGAAGAAATATAAGTTGCTCTGATGGGAAATGTGTTTGTTTTAAACAGGAAAGAGGCAAATGAAAATATGACTGCTGGGACATTTCTTCTTGGTCTTAGAAATTACTGTAAGGATATTGATGTTGATCCATCAAACAATCGATTTAATTTCACTGGATTATCTGGTTTTGGAAGCAATAACTTCGCTCTGGAGCCCACTGTGTCTGGAAGACTTGTGGTCAGTCGTTTGTGGCTTTATTTCAGATTGTCCCATTTCAGAAGTCAACTTATAAAATATTATAAGTTCTTTGAATTAATTGTCTGTACAAGAAAAAAAGAAATACTGTAATTCATGTCACAGTGGGTGTGATGTGGAGAATGGCTGTGTCGACTGGATGTGAACTACATACCCTTTGATAGGATGCTTTCTATGGATTCTACAGAATTTGGTGAACAGAGAACTGTTTTCTCCAGTTTTAAATAAATGTGCTAGATACGATTGAAAAAAAAATCCTTCTTTAGGGAGTGTGAAGCACCGAGTTTGATATGGATAAACAGAGAAATTTGATGCCATTTCATACCCATTTATTCATGACAGACTGTGGAAGATCCTTGCTATTCAGCATAACGAATTGAAATACTTGAGAAACCCCACACTCAGTAACTACTTCGCAGCTTCATTGGTCAGAATTGTAAAACCACTTTGAATGGTAAATTTTCACAAAAGTGTGGTGGGATTTGCACTTGTGTTACTTTGCATGTCAAAATATGGGTTCCTTATGCTGATAGCTGCTGGCATATTTGCATTGGCCAGAACCCCCACCAGTTGCTGGACATGTGCAATGGTGGTTGTTTTGTTGCTTTAAAAGGAGCCATGGACAAATACAGAAAAAGGGAAACATAGCAAAAAATAGGAATTCTGTCTAAAACAGGAGCAGTAAAACAATTTTGTATGGCTTGCTTTAATTTTTGATCTGAGGTGTACATGTCAACGAGCACTGCCCTTAGCTGCTTCATCTGCCAACATAAAAAGCATTTTCATTGCTGCACAGGATATGATTGTTGTCAGCCCTTTGATCACCGTGTATGTATAATGTAACAGGCTATCTGAAGTGTCCTGTCCCTGCAGGAATTTCCCTGTAGATGATAAACAGTGGATGCTTGTGCTTCCTGGTTGCCCCAGAGTTTATGAGGCTCCTACAGAAAGACAGAGAGTTCAGGAGATTAGGATTTAAATCTGCGTGAGCCACCATTTAGTAACAACTTGGTTCCTGGATAAACATTTCTGGCTGAACCTGATACCTTTAATACATGTCTGCAGGCACGAGCTCAAGGAGTAACTATTACTGTTTAGCAATAGCAGATTCTTGTTGAGCCACCAAAAGGCACAGCAAATAGCCAGCTCATTACATACTCTTTGAATTAACCAGGTAAAAGGTCAAGACCTTATGATCCAAATGATAAAACTTCCTGCACTTAAGGGAAAGATATTTTGTTGGCAGAAGGAAAGAGTTTTGAATTGCCAAGGGACACCAGGGCGTGAACATGTAGAAAAAGCCTGGAATCCAATCCTGTAATTGATTAATAGCCCATATTACTCCTACAGGGGAATTCTATATATCCAAGAGAGAGACCACACTTACAGAACACTGAAAAAAGTAATTGCCATCATGTGTATTGTGACTTTATGTAAGGAAGTATAAATACAATTGTGTTTCTTTTTAATTCAGATGACTGAAAGTATTGATTTAGAAAACCCAGCTAATCTAGGAGTTGAAGTTTATTCTTTGACTGTCAGGGTGCAAGATATTGCCTGTCCTAACTACTCAAGCAAGTATCCCTTTTACGCTTCTTTTGATATTTTCCTGTGCTGTAACAGCATGGAGAGAAGAATGCCATATGTATTTTGAATATATGCATGAGAAAATTTCGCAGCCATACTTAACTATGATTTAATCTTCTGTTATATTTCCAGATATCATCTACATTTACATCAGGATAAAGCCAGTGAATGAATTTTTTCCAGTCTTCAGTAATTTATCATATGAATTTAATGTTCCAGAAATTACTAAAGGTACAGTAAGTAGCACCTACATGATAGAAATAATGTTGTTATGTTGGTACGTACCTTTTTGCTCCAAATGGATTTTCATATATTTGAATGAGGAGAATGGCTCAAAGTTCCAGTTCAACCGGGGTCTCACCATACAACCACCTACTACCCTTAAATAGACAAAACTGGCAACAACTCCAGTTGTACATATGGAAGCTGAGACACAGACAAATTCGGCAATTGCACAAGAAATCTGTGACAGAGCCAGCAACTGAACTCAGATGTCTTGTTTTAGACCGTCTTGCTAAATTAGCCTTTTGGAGGGACTGTGACGGTGAAAAGAAACCGCTGTAGACTGACACAGATGAGTGAGGACTCCCTTGGCCCAGGCATGGTGCAGGATGGCCACTCCACTGTCCCCTTAGACCCAACTCACCTCGGGTGCAGTGGGTACCCTGGAGATAGGGTGGGATGGGAGTGCTCAGAGGGGGAGGCTTCGCTCAGCCAGATGGCAGCCAGAGTAGCTCCTCGTGCCCGGAGCCAGGGTCCTTCCCATTCCTGCAAGAGCCCAGGACTAGCGGCTGCAAATGTGGCCTTAAAACTGAATTTGTTGAAACTGTTCACATGCTTGACTCCCACCCCAGCACCCTTCCTGTCCCCTGGTGAGTCCTGCATCTCATGACTTTGCAGAGCAGTGTCATGGCATCTTGCCTCCTTGGTAATCCTCATGTGCCAGGTGCAACTGCCAGCCCGCTTTGTGCTGTGCTGCTTGGGGCACAGAGGAGTTGGCACGGGAATGGCATCTTCTCCAGCTTCAGCCTCTCCCTCATATGATCCAATGTACTAAATACAGGCCTTCTGTCCCAGGACCTCACTTACTGGCTTTATTCTGGTGGCTGAGAAAAAATTGAGAGGTCTGTTAGATACATGCTGGATAATCTTGACCCTCATTCTGGACTTCCTAGGGTCACAGAAAAATTGAAGATGTAAGGGACCTCTGGGGTTCTCAAGTCCAACTCGTGCTCAAAGTGAAGCTAGTTTCAAAGTTTGATCAGGTTGCTCAGGGCCTCATCCAGTTGAATTTTGAAAATCTCCAAGGATGGAGACTCCACAACCTCTCTGAGCCCCTGTTCCAGCTGAGCAACCTTCATTCCAGATAATTGTACCTTGCACCCAGATGGAATTTCCTATGTTGCAGCTTGTGTCTGTTCTCTGTTGCCCTTTCACTGTCCCCTTCTGAGAAAAGTGTATCTTGGTCTTCTGTATTATCGCCCTTTAGGTAGTGGAGCAAAGCAATTAAATCCTGCCTTCACCTTCCCTTCTCCAGCCTGCACAAACCCAGCCTCATCAGCTTCTCCTCCTGCATCCTCTGCTCAACCCCCTGACATCTTAGTGGCCCTTCCCAGCCTTTCTTTAGTTTGTTAGCATCCCTCTTGTACCTGGGCCCCCAAACTGGTCACAGGTATCTTTATGAGTGCTGAGCAGAGTGGAGCAGTCACTTCCCACCATTAACAACACACTTGTTAATATAGCCCCAGTATGCGGTCTCCATTCCCCCAAGGTGCCCTGGTGGCTCATGTATAACTTGTCCACCAGGGTCTGGGGTCCATTCCTGCAGAGCTGCTGCCTGCTCAGTCTCAGCCTGCGCTGTTGCATGGGCTTGTTCTGGCCCAGGTGCAGGACTTTGCATTTGCCTATGCTGAGCTCCACAAGTCCTGTCGGCTCATAGCTCCCGCCTGCTGGGCCCCTGAACGGCATGTGTCCTCCAGCACGTCCAACACTGCCCCAGGCTGCTGTTACTCACAAACCTGCCCCAATGGCCACGTCACCGAGGAAGACATCCAACTGTATCACTGCATCTGAGTGGAACATGGTGAAGCTGCCCATGAAACTCCAGGAGACTTAGCAGCCAGATAATCTAGTATCTGCTTGAATTTATTAAATTATTCTGTCCAGGGCAGGCTCAAAGCACAGGCGAAGGCAGCTGTGGCTATGGTCAGCAGACCTGCGGGCTCTATAGTGCTTCTGTGTCCATTTGCCCAAGCCAGGAGGCAGGGGGCAGGGGGAGGAAAAGGCATACTTCAAGCAGCCCCGCCATCCTGCCCACAACCTCCTCTCCCTTGCCATGGGCAAAGGAGCAAGCCCAAATTTCCAGCTCTCACCCTCAGCTCTCTGTTTTCTTCCTTCACTGGTCAGGAGGATCCTGCCAGGGTCCACAGGTCTGCAAAAATCACTCCTGCCTGCCCT